TTCAAAAATATTCCCAGATAAATCGCCTTGAAATCCATTTCAATTTTAAGTATTCTTTTTTAATTTGATAAAATATTGCATTTTTAGGTCTGGGCGTGCGTTATGCTAATGAAATATTAGCAATTTCCAAGTGTTAATTGAATTTTTAGTAAAGCTTTAATAATCAATTGTTCTTGCTTGTCCCCTCTAGCATATAATTGATAAATATCTTTCTGTATATTTTGTTTAATAATCTTTCAAAATAGCTTTAGTGGCTTTTAGTGGCAACTGTTTTAAATATTACGATGTACGTGGATAACTGCTAAAATTATTAATTACATTAATGTAAATTACCTATCGTAAATAAATTTATATGAAAATGCTTTATAAATTATTCGACAATTTAATATCTAGAATGTGGTTTGCGATTAATTTAATATTTTGTTAAATGTAACATTTATTAAATCAGAATAACCAGGGTGACAAACATAAACACTATTTATTATAATATAAATAAATAAATAAATATACATATATATATATATATATATATATATATACATATAATATACATTTAAAAATAAAAAGTTCAAAGGAGTAAATTTAAAGAATACAATAGTCAATTTATTCAAAATATAAGTGAGAGCAATTTTGAATCGCATCATTACATTATTTCTAATCAAGTATATTAAAATGAAATGGTAATACATATTGCCGTACATATATGCACTTATTAAATCACTTTGAAAATCGTTTTCTTTTTTATAATATAACTCCTAGTATCAGAAAATTGTCCTCCACACAATCTCAATAATGTTCACAAATTTATTTTACTTATTGCATAATTTTATATATTTTGACGTCCAATGGCAAAACATTGAAAATTCAATAAATACAGCAACGAAAATAAATTCCTGGGATAAATTGTAATTAAATATATGCTATGCTTATTAATCTCTAAAATAAAAAAGCTTGATAAAAGAAGAATAAGATCTACCGATACGTAACAAAATGGACGCGCTAATGAGTTACAAACATTTCTGCCTAAAAATAATAATATCTTGGTTCGCGTGAAAAAAATTCTTACGTAAGTGAAATGTGTACAAATTATTTGATACTCGTTGAGAAAATGAAGAAACTGACTAAACTTAATTAGTATGCTCTCCTTCTCATTTAATGATTGTAACGAGGATCAAACGACTACAATTGATCATGTCCAACTTTAACATTTACTTTCACGTAGGAGCGTGTTTTCTTTTTTTTTTTTTTTGTTTCCTAGTATACCCGTATGCACGTACATAGATCGGTATAATTAATAATTATCGTTCGATTTTAACAATAAAACGTCGATATATTCTGTGATCAGGAATTGTATATATCATTAAATGTGCATTAAAATGATATTATTTTATTTAATTAAAAAGTAATTACATTTGTTTCGATAGCGTTAATTTGAGCTTCGACAAATTTATTACAAAGAAAAATGAACTTTTACAGAGTTATTTTGTTGTCTTCTAGACGAATACCTCTCCTTTTAATTTAATTTTGTTAAATTATATATTCGATCAATTATAATTCGATTTTATTACATTAATGTGTGCACAATTGCACTGAAAAAATAATGTGTTTACCAATTCCTTTCACCATAAAACAGTCAGCATAGCTTTATATATAATAGGTTGATATTTTTAATGTTATTTATAATTCAATGTTAAATGCATTTGTTAAAAAAGCATTATTACGGCAATTATTAATTTACTTTTCGCTTTCAAATAATAATAATAATTGATCCAAACAATGTATTTTATTGTATGTCTTGAATGTTGTTGACAATAAAATGAACTTGTTTGGAACAAAAAAAAAAAGCAAAAGAAGCTCAATTTTCAATGTTACAATAAATACTAGGGGTTTCGGGGTTGGGGGGGGGGTGTTGTTGTTGTTGCAAAGCTAATGAACCGGCTAAACTATCTCGGGATTACTAATTTTCTAATTGGACAATAAATTTCTTTAAACAAGTGCAAATCTTATTGTTTATAACTTGCTTATATCACTGATATTTAAATTACACATCACAGTTCACATTTTAAAAAAAAAAAAAAGCACCATAATCTACAGTTTTGCTGATTTCTTACGTAAGAACGTCACTTAAACACAATTCATAAATGTTTATTAAACAAGTGCTATCTCCTACTATAACTTGCTTGTTTTTACATTTTTAATAGCTATTTAATGTTTTTCTTTTGTTTTTTTTTTTGTTTTGTTTTTGTTGCCGTTTTCTTTGAGAGAAAGCTATGAATCTTCTATGAAGACAACACAAATGATTTTCTTTCTTTTCTCTCTCTACAATGAGGAAAATAATGTGAGATTGGCTCGATACATAACTACAGAACTAGGGTCAGACCAAGAAGGTTGGTAACCCATTAAATGCTGATTCATCTTCACCATACGATTGGACATGCAATTTATGATTGTGTAATTGATCATGCACAATTTTGTCTGAGATAAATGTCCCTTCTCTCAGCATCAAGGTAAAATTTCAGAGCTGTACAAAGCTAAGAGCACATACACAGGCAATAATGGAGTCAATACGCTAACTACAAAGCTACTGGCTCATTGAATGAGAAGAAAATAGTTATGTAAAACGAGACATTTGTTACGTGCCTGCGTACTGCACGTTCCAAGAGGCCATTTCTTCTAAGCCCGAAAGAGACAATCGTCGTTTTCAAAATAATAATTAAAAAGGTCGAGGGGGACTGAGTAATTATCAATTCAATACATCACGACTTACAGACAGGCGCTTATTTATTACTCGATGAATATGTCTTTGTTTAGCAAATTTTTATGTAAATGCAAAAAATAAATTTTGGGCCGTTATGTACGTAAGTTATAGTAAACAAGAGTTCTTAGTGGCAAAGTGATCAATTATATTTTTTTAGTTCTCTTAGAATTTGTATAGCTCAAACGTATTGTTAAGTAAAATTCTAATTGTTCAATTAGCGTGCTACGGTATTTAAATTTGCAGCACAATATAGGAAGAAAATTCTCGATTTGAATATCTGGAAAATTATTAATCAAAAGCGTTGCTTTGGAAAAGGTAGGTGTGTATTATTATTCGAATAACGATGCAATTTACAATTTCACCTCCGTTAAGAATTTATTTTATAAATATGAGGTGCTTTGAAATTTCTAATTAACATACATAAATTTAGAGGATGGGAGGAGAAACGCCGATTTTCGATCATAAAACAAAAAAAAAACAAAAAAAAAAAAAGAAAAAACAAAAAAAAATGCAAAACCAAAACCAAAAATCCAAACCAAAGAAGAAAAAAAGAAAAATTTTAAGGGGTGGGGTGGGGGGGGGGCAAGCATAGGGGACACTAGATCGTCATCTCACATTTATTAGAATATACAAAGATTATTATTAGAACATGTGGAAGCGTATTATTCTGGGGATTGAACCGAGAATCTTGTGATCGCGGTGGTGGTACACCGAGTTTTAATGTAGAATTTTGTTATAAAATATTCGTCGATCGAATCGCAAGATTTCCCATCACTCGTCTCGGGTGAAATCATTAATTTCATACTCCCAGCTACACTGGGAACAGCACAGGATAATAGTATCATTGTAAGTATTCAATTTTCGTCCAGCAGCACCATAAATCACGTTAATACCTCCAAGACCCAATCCCAAGGCCACACAAATGCTTCGCAGGCGGCTCGAAAATTTCAATAACTTTAATGCTCCTAGCGCAAAACGAAACTGGCACTCTGCCTTCCGACTTTGTTCACGGTTCCGAGCTCGCGCCTATGAGAAGAGCAGCCATAACTACTTCTTCGCTCTCTCCTCTCGCTCCAAACATTTTTCTTCTCGCATTTTTTGCCTCATCCTCCGTCTTATCCCTTAGCTCCTACATAAGCGGCCCGAACCGAACCTCCCGCGGGTCCAAATCGTCGGACTTAACAAATAATAAAAAAAAAATAAAAAATAAAAAAAAACAGCGAAGCCGGCCGGTCCTCGATATTTTTTCCGTAAGGGAGTGTAGTGGTATGTGACGGACAAACTAGAGGAAAATTTCGAAGAAAAAGAATAGAACAGAAAATTTACGAGACAGCGTGTTCGGCACCGGGGCGAGATGTATAGTGTCGGGTAGCCCCGCGGTGCGGAGGGGGATAAGACCAAGTAAGGAGAGGTGGGCCGGTGCAGGGGGGTTGGGGGTTTGGGGATGGGGAGGTGGGGTGCCGAGCTGCTCGCATAACGAAAGATGGAGACTGGGAGAACGGAGAGAACGGGAGAGATATATAGAAAGAGAGAGAGAGAGAGAGAGAGAGAGAGAGAGAGAGAGAGAGGGGGGGGGAGGGAGAGTTCGTACCTTGTGAGTACGGAACAACGAAGGAGGAAGAAAAAAGGGGACGGGAATGACTCTGTCAACAAAACACTCGGTCCGTCGTCTCCGTAGCCGGCGTCATTGTCGCAGTCCTAGTCTCTCTCACGCCTGAAAAGAGCGCTCCGAAATCGATCGTAGCATTCACCAGCCTACTCCCTGTCTCACTCTCTTACCATCTTTCTCGTCATAAGTCCTTTCTGTCTGTCTGTCTGTCTGTCTCTCTCTCTCTCTCTCTCTCTATCTATCTATCTATCTATCTATCTATGTTCTCCCATGCTCCCTGGCTCACTACTAGAATATCATCGAAAAAGCTCTAGTCTTCCCTTCTCACTCTTACTCAAACTCTCAAACTCTCAATCTCTCTCTCTCTCTCTCTCTCTCTATGTTGTATCTCTGCTCTCTCCCCATCTCACGCAGGCACGAACGCACGTACGTACGTACACAGGTTCATGCACACGGGCTGCTCTCTCTTGCTCTCTTTATCCTTCTCTTTTTCCCGGTAACGCGAGCATGAGCCTACGCGGCTTGGCGCGCGCTCATAAAGAGAAAGAGAAAGAATGAGATAACCACGACATTGGGAAGTGGGGATCGGGACCGAAGACGATGCGCCACAGGTCGTGACGTCTCGGGTCGTACCTGAGCCGGTGGCAAAGACCACGGCCGCGCTGACCCCAACGTCGCCACTCATCATCTCCAGAGCGCGGAGGCTCCCGGCCGCGGCCGAGCTCTCGATGCTCCTGCCGTCGTCGCCGCTGCCGTTGCCGCTCCGACTGTCGCTGCTGCTGCTGCTACTGCTGCTGCTACTGCTGCTGCTACTGCTGCTGCAGCTAATATTCTGCTGCTCCTCCTTCTCGTCCTCCTGCTGCTGCTGCTCCTGCTGCTGCTGCTGCTGCTACTAAGGCTACGTATCAGGAAGCGCGGCACCTTGGCGGCGCAGCGCCTAACATCTGTCCCGGGCTCGAGGGCCAACGTACGAACAACAGCGTCCGGTACGAGGACGGGATCGAGGATAACCACAGCCACGGCCACGACCACAACCACGACGACGTGGAGGACGTGGACAACGAGGACGACGACGACGACGACAGATCGTGAGACAAGGACGCCGCCGTACTCCTGCGCGTTCCTCCGTCTCTACACGCGCGCGCACTCGAGCACATGCCCCTCGCGCGCGCTCACCTCGCCCTGTTCGCTGTCCCAGGGCGAGCCACGAGAGTGTTATTTACGAGGCGGATACCACCAGCATCTCGGTGGCCGCTGCTCCTGCTGTTACTCCTACTACTACTACTGCGGCAGCGGCGGCGTCGCAACGACGCCCGCCGCAAAGTCCGCTCACGGCAACGGCCATATTCATACTGGCGCTTGTCGCGGTGGCCGCGCGGGGTCGCAGCCGCAGCCGCCGCTGGCTTTGCCGCTGCCGCTGCCGCCGCTGCCGCCGCTGCCGCCGCTGCCGCCGCCGCCGCCGCCACGACCGCCGTTGAAACTGCCGTCGTCGTTATCGTCGTCGTTATCGTCGTCGTGGTTGTCGTCGTGGTCGTCGTTATGTTCGTCGTCGAGCTTGTCGTCGTCGTGGTCGCCGTCGTGATCGACGACGTTTTCCTCGTCTCCGTCGCTCACGCACACCGGCCGATTATATGGGTTCGGTATTCTGCGCAATTGAGTCGCTCTCGCTCCCACTGTCGAACAGCTTCTATTACAGTCGGATTGCGAAACGCACACCCCCACCACTTCCCGGGGGTTGAGTGCAAGCGTTTACGCCACGTTACGTGTGTGCGTGTATTCGGATCACCACTACGCGCTCAAAGGAGAAGATAAGGGCACTAGTTGGCCCCTCCGACGGCAATACACCCCCCTCCCCCGACGCCGCCGCCGACACCGCCGTCGCTCGATTACCGTGCCACGCTCCCCCTTCCTCGGTCCAGACCCCCACCCGATTCATTATTTGCCACGGCCACGACCGGCCTTTTGGCCCTTCGACCCCGTGGCGACTAAATTGCCACGATTATTTAAAATTTCACACGTGTGTGCAGACACGGCGAAATTTAGCTTACCGTTGTGCTCTTTCGTTTGCCCACGAGGCGCCTACGAGGTACATATGACCCTCAAAATTTCAAGGCTCAAAGTTCCCCGCCTCCCATATGCACATTTGCACACAAACGTTGCCTGGATGCGAGCCCTAAGGCCAAGTCGCCGCCATCCGACTTTGGAAGGAGTCTGGATTTTTTCCGTAAAATAAGAAGGTCGCCAGTACCGACTTGGCGCTACGGCCGCTGCCGCCTTGAGTTCAAGCAGCCTTAACGTCTACTTCTATTTGTCATATAAAAGTGAAAATGTCCATCAAACGGGACAATCCTCACCCTTTTGCATGACTTTTTTTTTTTTTAATTACATCTCGTTCATTATTATCGTTTTTATACGATATTCATCTTCGGACTTTAATGATTATACATTTTTTTTTTTTTTTTATATATATATTCATAGCATTCTGCGATGAGACTTGGATGAGTAAAGTCTATGGCGAAGAATTTTTATGGTAAGAAGGAATGCTGCGGCTTAACGCGAGATGACACTTCACTGCGATCGTATGGTATCAAATTAAAATTTCACTTCGAGTCTGATTGCTTTGTTAGAAATGGTGAAAGTGTATGATTAGCGAATCTTAATTATTTCACTAAACATCAGCCTAAGGACAGAACGAGATGTCGATTGATTCAAGGGAAATATGAGATAGGCCAAAACGTTTAATTCGTCGTTTTAAACATTCCGTTAAAGACATTTTAATTTCACATTCAAAATCCATCAGTGAAGTCAAAGTTATTGTATTCTTATAACTTTTACGAATATTATTCATAGATTTGCTTGAAACTTCGTGCAAAAGGCCTTTATTATTCTACGGAGGATCGGACATTTTACTTTTACATAAATTGAAACTTTTTAAATAAAATTTAACAATTAATTAAACAATTTAATTTAATGAGCTGTAAATTAATTTTCCCACCCCTATTATTGATCTTGTCATGAAATTCGTATTTAATAAGAATAGAGTATTAAAAAGTATTAAAATATGGATATTATCGTTAATTATGTGAATTTATCTGACGAATAGAGAATCGATCTTTATAAGACCCCTTGTACAATAATATTCAATTGATAACATGATAAGTTAAATAAAAACTTGTAAATACGTGATGTACAATTTGACGTGTTGGAAGAAAGTTCAACAGTTTATTAACACGTATTTTGACAATGTAATTTTATACTTTTTACACTATAAAATCTAATTGATATTGTAAACGACCTTGACGATCAGCTATATGGTACGGGGACTGTCCCGCCTAACTTTTATCAATTTCTAAGTCTATATTTCGTTACTGTCAAACTACATTTAAATACCCTCGGATCTGAATAATCCAAGTTAGTACGGAGTCTATTGTGTCTACACACACGCGCGCGCGCCCCCGTACATGATATACTCAACTTGGTATCTACAAAATTTGGGTTTCATATTTATAGAGAAAAAAAAAGGAAAAAAAAGTGCAATAAAGGAGAGCTAATTTTCTCTTGATAATTACGTCTTTCTTGATATTGTAAATAAATTGTAATACGGTTAAGGCACACTATATGGTAATTTTATATTTACTTACATTATGAGCTGCATGGTAACAAAAAATTCCATTGATTATAACGGTGTTATTTAAAAAATATGATTATTATGAATATCGAATGTTATGTGTATATGAAAATTATATAATAATAAATAGAATTTAATTACGAATTATTGACGAAAGTGTTGAACAAGTTGGAATGTCGTTCTGGCAGAATTTATATCACAATAGCCATTACTTAAAATCAACACGATATCATGCACAGCAATTATACGTGAACAATCGTGGAATGTAAGAAATATTTTCATGCCTTTAGTCGACAAGGAATATGTAACCACGCATCATGGACTTACAAGCATATTCGTATTAGTAATATTTTTTGCAATAACTTTTGAGTATGACAAATGCCTTCGATCGATGTCGATCGACTCTTTATTTCACTCCAAAACTTAATAAACTTTTGAAAGCTATACTCGTCATATTTTTGTGCATATAATATAGAGATGAAGCTAATCAAATGCATTTACGGCAAACAGAAACTTACTTGTTTTCATTACACCAATGTGTTATGTAGTGCGCTCAGTCAAATCCCACTGGTATTATATTAGACTTAGTGGCTTTAATTTCTTCTCAAATCTTAAGAGTTAAAATATTCACTCCACGAATGGAATTAATTAAAATTGTAGTAGTATCTTTCACTATGTCTGATAAGAATAATTCAAACATTTAATGGCCAGAAACTCAGTACCCTAACTAACTTTAAAGTTTTTAGAGTTAAATCTTCCATTTACAATTGGAAGAAATTAGAATTAAAATGGTTCCTCAGACTCTTTCTAGAAGAACATGTTCAAGCATTTTATGACTACTCAATCAATTTTCACATTATCATAATATTATATTAAATTAACAAAAGTCCGAATATTGTGCTACCTTGAACGGTATTTTTGACCGGTAAATTAATTTTATTAATTAATATTAATTGTATTTAAATTATTCATCTGAAATATTATCCTAAAATTAAGTTATATATTTAAAAATATAAAGCTGAAATAAATTTATTTATTAATGATTTCTCATTTGTTCATTTACTAATTTATCATGGCCTCGATATTAGTTTCAAGTTATTTTTCAAATATGCTACCTCGCAAAGAAAACTTAATTATGTCTTATTTTTTGGTTAGACAAGTAGAAATAAAAATATAATGTTTAAAACATACTCGCATTTTAAAACAAATGTATTTGCATAAATTTTAAGAAAATTTCTTATGCAGTTGCGTTATTAACAAAAATTTTACCAAAAGATTCTCATGATATGTACGTGCTACATACACGTGCTAAATATATTCATGATAAAATGAAACGCGGGATTTACACGGTTTATATTAAAAAGAAAAGCCCCGAAAGGTTACAAATAAAACCTATTTTTATGCAAAATCTTAATATTAAGACTCATAATGTTAAATTTCTACTTTTGGCATTATTCGAGAGTAACCATGTGGAAATGGAAGGGATGAGATTATTGATCCTGGGTAACGCTGAGGTGGGGATCTATCTACCTTTATGATTTTCACTACTAGATTTTTCTTTTTAAAAGAATCTTTTTTTGTTTTTCCGAGCTTTCCCAATTTTTTTCCCAATGTAAATCTACCGTTGCCATCTATGCAACATATATCCTATAAGTTTTTTTTTTAGTATTATTCAACATAAATATAGTTGGAACTGCTTAATAGAACGGCACACATCGTATAATGAAATGTTATAGTTCTAATTTTTGGATAAACTAATAAAAAGAATCCCCCTTTAACGTAGTATTCACAAAGCTTTTTGAAACTTATTTGGAAAAATTGCATCTAAATTTTAGATCTAAAGACGTTACGAATATTACGAATGCGTTGTACTATGGAGATTTATATATATATATATATATATATATATATATTTTATCAAATATTTGAAAAGTATTCAGCTTTCAAATCGGCAATATTTAATGAAAAAAAAATAATGAATAAAATATACGCTTTAATAAATATTTTCCGTGATTTAAAGGGATTTAAAATGCCCGATAAATTATTAATATTGAGCATACATAAACTTCAAGCTTTAAAAAATACAAAGATTTACTTTAAAATATGTATTCTAAGAAACTCGAGAAATATGAAGAATTTTCAAACTTTAATATACTAT